CCCCCCTCAATAACTACATAGGCCTACTATAATCCTTTCATTTACTCACCATCCCAGCATCTCTACACCAAGCTGGAGAGTAGCGAGAGGGAACCACTGAGCCGCAACAGCAAAATACAAGATGGCACAACGGACGAGCCCGCATCGTTCCGCAAAGACAGTTACGGCGCCACACCTGGCCAGATTTTAAACTACAACGGCACGGCAGGCCAAACATCAAATAACTTTGGCTCGACATTGAACCGGAGGTCGGAAGATGAAGGGGGACACATCGAGCGACCACAAAGATTCTTTTATAGACGAGAGCCTGTATTTTGATCCCCAGTCTCCAGAGAGAACACGTGATAATTCTTTTGAAAGTGTATGATTGATGTTGTGTTTAGAAATTGAATGGACTTGGTGTGATCTTTGAAATCGGATACATGTGTTTTTGTGTGAGATTTGGTGACTGTTAATGTATAAACCTTTTTACCTGTGCAATTAAAAGTATTTATATCTTACTTCTTTTGTTTCTATAATTATTAATTTAATTATTTAACGAAAAATGTCGTTATAAGCTATATTAAATTTTTTATTAAAACTTGTCTACCTTTATTTAGTCGAACATTAAAAGCTACCTTTTCAAACATGATGGTTCATGTTGCACAATGAGTAGAGTTCAGCTGTTTCTCTGATTTCATAAGGTGAACTGATCGTCGGGTCAGCATTGTGTACAGCAGCTTCACTTTTTTTTCTAACGCGAAACAGATACTCATCATAGTTGGGTGGACTCGAGTCCGGGATTCGAACTCGAGACATTCAAGTGAGCAGGTGTGTGCTCTACCTTCGGACAATGCCGTCCTAGAAATTAGACATAGATAAAAAAAACAACAACAACATAAAACTTCCACAATGCTCTTGGTTTCTAAACCGAAAAGTCCCGAGTTCGAACCCCGGGGTAGATGAGGCTCGGTAGTTGGGCACAGCAACCCATCTAGGAGAGACAACTCCAAAAACAAACACCTGCTACCTTGCAGTTTTGTTCTTGGATGTAAACAAATTTTTTAAAAAGCAGACTGAAGTCGGTGTCAAAGGCCTAGATCTATATGGCGCATAACAAGTTAACACGTAATACTAAATTGTGTTGGGGAAAATAGCGTCAAATTTAACAATTAAGAACGAAGACGAAGAATTAAAGTTTGTTAAGGATAGATTTTATAGGCAAATAGAACCACATATAAGTTTATAAGGACATATGCTAAAGACAGGAAAGCTTCATTTTCTTAGGTCTCTAGTCTATTAATTTTCAAGTAATTTGACTCTAATCAGACATTAGTTATTTATTTAAAATTAATTCAAAGATGACCAAAGAGCGATCTGTCGGTTGAGCTGATGTTCACTAACGCTGATTACAAATCTAAGTGGCCAGCACTTCGAAAGTTGCTGATCAAGTTTCAAAATCTATTTAGAGGTGTTGATTTAATTTAAGATAAACGAGACAATATAGACAATATAGTGTTACTTGTTTTCCGAACTTAAACATAGACATCTATATAGGCAGTGGCGTCGCTAGGTCGGGTGTCACCCGGTGTGGGATCTCATGGTGTAACCCCCCCCCCCCCCCGAAAAAACATGTTTATATATATATATATATATATATATATATATATATATATATATATATATATATATATATATATATATATATATATATATAGTATATATATATATATTGCCTAATGGCGTTAATTTGTGCATACAATCCACCTATTAATTCATGTGGAAAAAAATATCGTTTTTATCGTAAGTCATTAAATGTTGGTGTCACCCCCTCTACTATCGTTCATTGACTTATCTGTTAATTAAAATTACTCAACAAGCCAGTGGCGTAGCCAGGATCGTCTCAAGGGGGGGGGGGGGTGTTCCAATTTATACCCGGGGACAAACTTTCGATTTGCACCCCCCCCCCCTCAAACTTTCGATTTGCACCCCCCTCAAACTTTCGATTTGCACCCCCCCCCCTCAACACAGTTAATAGTAAAGATGGTTATCTATAGTCAGTTATTAATACAGGTGGATTCATTCTTATTAATCATTAATTGAACTGGCAAAAAAGCATTTTTCTTCTATATATTTTAGCAATTTTGCGTCATGTTGTCACCCCCTTAAATGGTGTCACCTGGTGCGGTACGCACCTCAGCCCCCTGGCGACGCCTCTGTGTGTAGGCTATATAGTAGCGTAACAACTATGTAACCAAGGAAGACAAATTCCACATGCCCCCCGAACACGATAAGTTAAGTGCCGTTACAGCTAGGTAGATGAAATTTCATACATAAGTGTTATATCAAATTTATACTTTTGAATCAACTTTTCAGCGATTTCCGGTAACCGGAAGTGAAACTTAATCTACTTCTGTTTTCTTTTGTATTCGAAAATGAAATTTCATTTTTTTTTTTTACTTTTTATCTCGTAGCGAAGCACGGCTATGCATTCAGTATAAAAATAAGCATATATAGGCCCGTTACAAGTTCTCAAAATTCGCTCGGCAGTTTCGATCTATGACGATCGAAAAACAAGTTAAATAAAAGCTTATAAAAAATCATTAAAAAGAAACGTTTTCATAGCAAATTTTTATGTAGGCCTAATATTGCACTAAAAAAAGAGAAAATGAATGATTTTCTTTAAATATATTATTATAGGCCTACACTATTAAAAGCAACTAAATTTTCGTTTATGTTTGGAATTTTCACATGAAACTGTTGGCCCATTACAACTAAAAATAAAAGCAGAGTTTAGATAGTTAAAATGCATTAAAAAAAACAAGAAAAAAACCCAAAAAAAAAAAACAAAAAAAAAAAACAAGAGAGTTAGAGGGGAATCGCTTAAACCAGGGGTTCCCAACCTTTTTTTTTTTTTTACTCTAGAGCACATTCTAAAATATCGGTAGGGTGGCGGGCACCACCTATTTTAAATCGACAAAACTCCTTCCATAACTTGTCATTTTCCCATAATTTATTTTCTTATTGTCTTATTTTCTTATAGTCATAATGTATTAATAAATAATAAACAAAAATGTTTCAAAAACATAAAATTATTTGGCATTTTTTTCAAATTGCATACAGGCAAAGAAATGTTTTTACAAAACGTAAAGAAAGTAAACAAATCACATAAATAGAAAGAAAACATTTAATTAAAAAATATAATAAAGTCAATGTGATCTTTGGCATTGCATTTCATTCGCCAGAGCTTCATAATAAGGGCGTATGACGACAATCCTGTTAGCAGACAATCAAAAAGATGCTCATCGGTGAGTCGAGATCTAGATCTATATCTTGATTTTATTAAGTTCATGTTTGAAAACAATGATTCGCATAAATATTTCGAACCGAAAAAATGATTCAAATGGCACTAGCCGTTCCAGGCTAGCGTAAATAGTGCAGTCTGGCTCGCCGCTAGACAAGTTGGGACAAGTATCGAACATATTTAATAAACCTGGGCAGTAAAAAAAAAAATTAAAACTGTAACAAATGAATAAAAATAAATCATATTTTAAAATAATGTTTATGAAAAAAATTCTGTCTCTGTCTAATAGTGAGAGGCGGGCACATACGAATCGTTCAGCGACAAAACTGGCGCCATGGCGCCCGCGGGCACAGGGTTGGGAACCCCTGGCTTAAACGAAACAAGAATGATAACTCTTATTATTCATGTTAATTAATCTTTATTAATATTTACGCCCTAAATCTAGTATTCTAGATCTAGTTAAAAATTAATATGATCATGTTTTTTTTTAGTCCAATAGGCCTAATTATTTATAATTTGGTAGGATTAGGCCTAAGTGAAAGTATATTATTATTATTATAGGCCTATTTATAAATGTAGAATAGTTTCCTTCTTTCATACTTCATACTAAACCTAAACAAAATCACGTGATACGTCATGTGGTACGTCATCAAGAAACTTACTTTCAGTTTTGTTTTCATTGGTAAACCTCTTCTGGAGTAGACAGAAACAAAAACTAAACACAGATGTTGAACTTTTTCATCCTTGCGTGTGAATACACTTATTAACACCCTATTACAATATGCGAATATGTGTGTCACTTTATATCGTTTCTCAATGACAATAATATAACACTGTTTTCAGTATGGCAGACACGACCCGGGGACAAGCCAAGCGACTCTGTCACTCTGTGCTGTCACAGTGTTGTGTGTGTACTGTCGTGTGTGTAGAGTGTAGTAGACTAAAGATACAAACTTCAAAATACAAAGTACTAACTCACCAACTACTGACACACTCTCAGACACAGTGTAGAGTTAGAGTGTAAAGTGTAATAGTAGTAGCAGCTACTACCACTTGATAGATAGTATTGGTAATAGATCTAGCTAGTAAAAGGCAAAAGGGGTGTTTCTGGCTTGCTAAAAAAGTTTTAAAAAGTCAATGAGTATATGAGATATGACATATGAGTATATGAGTCAATGCTATTTTCATTTTTTATGCTAACCCTATCCCCAATCCTAATCCGGGAGAATTTTTATACCAGTGTCCGATTATAAAATCTTCTTCAAAAAATGGGTGTTAGGTTACTGGTAGTTAACTAAATACACACATTGCTGGCTAATGTCAATGCTAGCCCTATCCCTAACCCCAACCCTAGCCCTACCATACGCCGGCATATGCCTAACCCTAATTTCTAACCATAAAATTAGTTGATAATACAATACTACTAATAACCCAACACCTATTTTACGGAAGACGTCTATTATCGGATATCGGTATCTAAAATCATCCTCTAATCCTTATATTATAGCTATATGCCTAACCTAATTTCTAACCATAAAAGTAGTCGAGATTACAATACCACTAACAACCTAACCACAACACATGCATTTTTAGAAAAGTCTAATTATCAGTCATCTTCAATCATCCAAGATTGGTTGATTTGTATTTTTACTACTACTTCTAATTAATTTAATTGGGTAATATTTAGAATCGACTCTTTGAATCCCTGCTAGAAGGAACCTTGTCATGATCCAGATTTTGAGATATTATTAATGACTATTAAGGCAAATAAGTTATTAGTTATAATTTATAATTAATTAAAGTCAAGAAGTAGGCTAGACATAATATTATCCTTCTCGATCTATATTTTTATTTTTTTATTTTTAGAGATGAAAAATATTTTAAATTAAATATTTGTGGGGATGTGCCACAGTAATAGTGTTGCAGTTGGGCACTCCAAGTTCCCCTACAGTCACCTTAGCACCTGGGTGTCTTGCACTGGGGGTCAGTGGTAATACTTGAATCAACTGTCAAACTGCACCCGGGCACTGTTGTGCATACATTTGTTTTATAGAACATGCTACACCAGTGTTTCTTCCAGACTTTTTTCTCTGTGGGTGCACTTGAAATTTTCGGGGGGGGGGGGGGGGGGGGGGGGGGCTGACACTGTTAAAAGTATATATTTTCTATATAAATTCCATTTCGTTCAGGGGGGGGGCGGGGGGGGCCTCAGTCCCCTCGAAGAGATGCCTGGAAGAAACTCTTTGCTACACTAAGAATACTGTGCGCTGCTGCAATCTATGATAATGCCGAACTAGGGGTTCCTTTCAATCCCTGATCCTATTTTTAGAAGTACAGAAACAGATTCATAAATCCCATTTATTCTGTATCTAACATAGATTAAAATAACAATAGGGAAAAAAAAATTTTTAGACTATGAGGTTAAAAATTTAAGTTTTTAGACTGCATTGGAATCGGTACTACAACATTATTACTTGTCTATATTATGGAGCATTTTATTTTGTGAATAATAATTCCTCTTATTGAACATGCTGATACTTCTGTCCTATTATTTGCTTCATGAACATCTTTTAACCAACCTAAACAATAAACAATATGTTTTAGTTAAAGCTCACGTAAAAACATAAACTAAAATAACATCATTTAAGCAGTTAGATTTGTTTAAAATTAAGTTTCAAAAAATTATTCACTGCTAATAATTTTTATTGATTTGGCATCATCTGATGTCAATTGATCAGAATCTTTCCTAAGTTGTCCCTTGTTTTATTTAAAACATACTAGGCACATGACTTCCATTGTCTGTTTTTGTTACGTACTCCTTTGTATTTTAAACATTATTAAAAGCTATAAATAGCCATTCTGCTGACCTATATTCATGTATTGTTATCAAGATCTCCCCTAAAGCAACCAATTTTTTTTGTTTCATTATCTCCCCCACCCCTTCCAGTTTTTTACTCCTCCCTTTACTAATCATGCTATGTTTCAGCATGTTATTTATAAACATGTCAACAGTCATGTGATGGACTTTGTCATGTCTCTATTGTTTCTCCCTCCCCAGAATCTTCGATCATGGTCTCTAAAAAGGGAGTGATATTGTTTTCGTGTGGCTTGTTGGGTGTTGTCTTCCTTGTCGTAGGCTGTGTTCTCATAAACGTTTTTGACACTCTCATCCATTCGGAGGTGAAAGATGTAAGTAAAAAGATTTTGTATTTTGCTTATTTATAGTTACATTTTTTTTCAAATTTTAAAAAGCATGTTAGGAAAAATTGTATAAGCCTATCTTCATCATAAGAAAAGTTTTTTTTTATTTAAAAAAAATGGTTAGAAATGTATTTTCTTTAACAAGTAATGCATCTGAAGTCAAATTTTAACAATTTAACCAGAGGCGTAGCGACCCTTCCCGGCGCCCCTGGGGACAAACTTTTCGATTTGCACCCCCCCCCCCTCAAACTTTCAATTTGCACCACCCCCCCCCTCGAGATTTTGATTTGCACCCCCCCCCCCCTCAAACTTTCAATTTGCACCACCCCCCCCTCGAGATTTTGATTTGCACCCCCCCCCCCTCAAACTTTCAATTTGCACCCCCCTCAACCTTTCAATTTATTTTTCCAACCCATTTTGGCACCCCCTAAGCTCGGCGCCCGGGGACATATGTCCCCCCCGCCCCCCCCCCCCCCGCGCTACGCTACTGAATTTAACTAGCAAAAATATTAACAAAAGTTTAAACTAGAAAATAGTTTTTTTTAAAGGCCTACTTTGTTCATAACATTAGAGATCTGCAGTCAAACAGGAAATGAAATAGCTATGTAGCCATGGCTTTGAAAGTATTAAATATGCCCAGCTGTATTATTTCCCTGCAAAATGCCTAACTATATTACTTCCCTTAAACTGGCACACTCAGATTACTGTGTAAGAAGGAAATAATATTCTTTTTTTTTTTTTATTTTGAGTTTGAAATTTTTTGGTTATGAATGGAAATAGTAATTATCACAGACGAGTAGCCAACTGCTAGATCTATTTATTTAAAAAAAAAAAACAACTAATATTGGATTACAATTAAAAACATTAAAGCATTAATAAAAAATGTTAAAGTACTAAAGTCAAGGTAATTTCAACACTCAAGTTTGTAATTGATAACTTAGTCACTCCATTCCAGCTGTAAGTAGGTCATGGTGCTTAGGCTATCCATGTTTGTTCAGGTCTAGAGTGCATGATCAGCCATAAAATGAAAAACAACAAGTTTTTAGCTGTTTGAAGGACCATCAAAGCCGTGTTTTTTTTCACCACGCCTTGTATATTTACTATCTTGTTGATTGATTTCTATTTAATTAAATTGGAGCTATGATGAAAAAAATGCCACCCCCTTATGTAGCATTGCAAAACCACTTCAATTCACGGGTGATAAAAACACATGCACTTTTCTCAGTGAAATAAGTACGGGATGTTGGATAGGATAAAACCACCATCATAAACCTCTGTATTAAAAGTTGTCTTATGTACTACTATTATTGATGGAGCACTCACACTGCTTTATGTTAACAATTCCAAAATTTTAAATGTCATTAAAGCAAACATTTTGTATTCTTAAAATTGTTATAGAATAAAAAATGGGCTTGTATAATAATAAAAAAACAACAAACAAATATATAGACCTATATACATGTAATGGAAAAAGTGACAATTTTTTGCCTACACCACTGACCTGGCGTCATCGGCCTAAAATAAAGGCTATGAGGCCATGTCTTTATTTTCTTACATTTATTAAGCACTGACTTTTTTTACATGCTGAATTTGTTTTCTTTTTGCATCAAGACAATTTAAATCACCATTAGATTTGATACTTTTTACATTTTTCTATTTATATATGTTTAACACTTCATTAGTAGCCTTTATTATTTGAATTTAATTTTAACCATATTTTTCTATAATTTATCTGCCCACTACCAAATATCTTTTAACTCCCTTGGGGTGACTTTTTTAAAGTATCTGATTCTCTCTTATACCCAGGGTCTACCATTAACAAAAGGCTCGGCTTCTTATAAAAACTGGCAGTCACCAAAATCGCCCATTTACTTCCAAGTATGGATGTTCAATGTGGTCAATCGCATGGAAATAATCGCAGGAGAAAAGCCAGCAGTGGCTCAGATGGGACCCTACACCTACAGGTAAGTGGACGCCCATAAATGACATCCAGCTATGATAATGTGTGATGAACATGTGCGTTGGGGTTCCGAAAGTGTGCTGTCACATTTTTTAATTCTGTAAAGTAATCTTTAAAACTGAATTTTAACGGCTTTTTATTGTATTTAAATATTTTTGAGTGAATTGAAATTGATTAATATACCTAACGAGCCGGCCCGCGGCATAACATACGCCGCTATTTAGTTGTTTCTAATTTTCAATAATTCATAATTTGTGAATTCGACAGTACCAACGCTGACACTGAAAATATTTCTTTAAAACACTATAAGTAGCTCGTTAAGGACCATAACCCCCCCCCCCCCCTTCCTTCCCCCTCCCTCCCCCCCCCCCCCCTACGTTTAAAATCGTTGGCTCTGCTTGTAAACATTTAGAGTGAACACAGCTCACTAAAACCATGTAGGGGTGGGGAGGTAGGGAGAGCGTTTGCAGCTTGTTTTCTAACGGCTCGAAGAGGAGAATTATATATATAGATTATGATCAAGTGTGACATCATTTAAAAGGGGTGTCTGACTTTGTGTGATGAGGAGGAGGAAGGAGGTAAAAACTATCAAATATTTATTTTAAATTGGCTATTGCGGTAAAACTTATCATTTTTTTTTTAATTCTAGAAAGACTTTGTAAAGTGTTAAACTTGATATTTTAAAGAATAGCCTATTAAAATTCCATGGCAAATCATAAACCTACTTACTAGTTGTGTTATTAAAATACTGTGTAAACAGCTATACTCATCAATTATTAACTGAACTAGAAATAAATTTAAGTTTTGCTTTAGTTGCTAGCAATAATTAATTATTGCCAAAAATCAACATAACGCTAATTAACTAATAATTAATATACCTCCAATCGTTCTACTATCAATAATAACTGTTTTATTTTTGTCATTTTTTCACCACCATTCATATATTAACCAATAATTTTTTAACAGCTGTTATTAATTAGCACCAAATATTAATGAACACCCTGTTTTATTAACACCAATAACTAATAGACACCCATTATTAATACGCACCAATTATTAATTAACACCCATCATTTTAAACACCAATTACCAATCATGATTGCATTCTTATAAAACCCACAATTATTTAACCGCCATCGTTAATTATCCGTACTCACCATCCCCAGGGAACATCGCGAGAAGGTGGACATAAACTACTACGACAATGGAACCTTGACTTACAGGGAGCTGCGGTCCTTTGTATTCCAGCCTGACATGTCTGTTGGCTCAGAGAACGACACGTTCTACACAGTCAACCTTCCTGCTCTGGTAGGGCTTGTAAAATTAAACAACTTTTTTTCTCTGTAATACACCTTCCTTTTGTTCTTGTGTCAAGGTTAGCTTGTTCCTGATAAGAATCAGGGGTATAAAAAGGAAGGGGTGTGTGGGTATAATGCTGAGGGGGGGAGGGGGGTTATATAAGGTAAATGTTCTCGCTATTTTCTATTATTATTTGTTTGAATATACTACAGCTACTGATTAATTTAAATACAGCACTGACAGTCGTGCTGCAATACAGCATACATTCTGGCAAATTTTCTGAATAAAAACAGCGGAAAATAGTGTATATTAAATACTTGATTCAGTGATCAATAAAGAATTGTATCTTAATTTGGAGAAAGTCATGGTGTTCATAGATAGATCATGCATTAACTTTTAGGGTTGAGGAATTGTCCCATGTTAATTAACCTTGTTATGGCCCCTAAGATCAATAATCTCTGGTTAATTTACTCCGTATGGTAACTACCCCCATTTGAGAATATCTTATTATAAAGTAAGTAAAGTTACCTTTTCAAACCTGACTGTCTACAGGGCAAGTGAAGTAGAGTTCACTTGTTTCTGTGACCTGGGCATATGAAGAGATAGTGTGGTCAGCACTATGCTCAGCCGCTTTTACTTTCCTTAACGTGAATTAGGTACTCATCAGAAGTTGGGATGGACTCAGGGACGGTCTACTGACTAGAACCTGGATACGAACTCGAGATTTATGGGTTAGCAGTCCAGCTCTCTATCGCCAGGTCACTCTGTCCCATCTTATTATACGTGATATTGGTAAAATAATGAAACCAGCATTTTTAAAATGCCTCCTTTTTTGGGATTTTTTGTAAAAATCTAGATCAATGTATCCTCATTTACTTCCCCTGATTTTGCTATCTTGTCCACTCAGTTTAGAAATAATATGTAGATCTAAGTGGACAAGTGATATATGGAGGTATTGGCAGAAGGGTAAAAAAATACAATATTTTTGTGTTGAACATGTATATTTAAAAAAAAAAAAAAAAATTTCAAGATTATTACATAATGAAAAATATTTTTTACTAAATTTTTTTTCCAGACCATCATGTCTATGCTAAAGAGAGAATACACATTTTTTGATGAATTAGTTGACTTGATCTTGAATGCAATTGGCGAACGATTGTTCATACAGTTGTCTGTGCATGATTTGATGTGGGGCTATGAGGACCCTTTATTAAAGGATGCGAAAGAAATTGCTAGAATGTTCAATCGGACTCTGAACATGTCAGACTATTTTGGTCTGTTTTATAATGTAAGTTTGTGATCCACGAAGGAAATGTAAGGTGGCTGTGACGAAAGGTCAGGGATATTTAATTTGGTTTTGAGAAAAGGATAGGGGGTTAAATATGGTGGGTTTGAGGAAAGAATAGGGTTATGTAAGGTAGGTTTGTGGAAGGGATAGGGATATGTAATGTGGGTTTGTGGAAGGGATAGGGATATGTAATGTGGGTTTGTGCAAGGGATTGGGATATGTAATGTGGGTTTGAGGAAAGGGAAATATAGACATATTTAATTAGATAAATTAGAATGGATACAAAAGGGATAGCTGGGCTTAATGTAATGTGGATGGTTGTAGTGGCTAAATATAAAATGTTGTAGTCATAATTTATTTTTGATGCTATGTAGTATTTTCTAGCAGTAATAACGTTATTAGAAAATCATACTTTTTATTTGCTACATAGTATTTACTGACTGTAATATACTCCTTAGATACTCATTCTGACTGAAAAGAAAAAACTATATAATTTTAACTGAGGTTTTTATTAATCGTAAAAATTTAAACTTAACTGAATGTTTTTTTTTGTTTTAAAAAAAATCTTTTTTTCTAAAACTTTTTTAGCAAAACAACACAGACGATGGCCTTTATCAGATCTACTCAGGTGTTAAAGGTATCGACAACTTTGGGAAAATTGTTACCTGGAATCAATTTGAGTAGGTGGAGATATAAAAAAAATTGTTTTTATGCTGCTAAAGTATGAGGTATTGGTGCTGCTGTTTTTCTAGAGTATAGGCACATTTGACCCACTAATATTAATTGTCACCAAAACCATCCCTTAGCCTATAATGGTGTCACAATCTACCCCCCCACACCAATATCTAACAGTGATAAAGGATAACCCACACCACATTCTACGGTGTGGTCAAATGGTAGAGTGTACGACTGCTAACCCTAAAGTCTTGAGTTCAGATCCTGGGCTTGAAAGTCTAACCTGAAAGTCTTGGGTTTGGATCCCAGACTGGAGTTCATAGGACATCCCTGAGTCAACCCAGCTCTGATGGGTATCTGACTTGCAATATTGAAAGTAAAGGCAGCTGGGCATAGTTCTGACCACACGATCCCATCATATGCCTAGATGAACTCTACTTCTTCTGCTCACTAGGTTCAAAAAGGGTAACTACTACCTACCACCACATTCTAGATTCCAATAACAAACATTACTCAAAAGAATAAATCACTATATAAATTATTAGCAAAGATATTCATACACCATAGATGCTATTAAATTAGTATTGTATTGGCAGCAAGCTTTATAAAACTGATGCACTTTTGGGGTGGCAGTGGGTTGTCAAAAATTGAATTGTGGTGTTTTGATGGGGGGGGGGGGGGAATGGGTGAGACAACTACTCCAGTTCTAGTGTAGGTGTCATAAATGGATGACCCCCTTTATCTGAGTTTAAATTGTTAAACCATATTTGGTGTATTTCTTTTTGTCTTCAGGAAACTTCCTTACTGGACCAATGAATCTGCCAACATGATCAACGGCACAGGTAAGTTCTAGTCTTTGTAGCCTGCAAAAATCTGGTTCTGGGATTATCTCTCCACTTGGATTTGATCCAGTATTAAACATCGCATCACACATCTGGTGCACAAAGCATCTATGCAGTTGGATATGATCCAGGACTAAATATTTTAGTTATCTAGCACAAGATTTAATCTTCCTTGTTTGATTTGACCTATTTTGATTTGAACCACTGACCTGATGACCCAATTTTATTGATAAAGAAAACAGGAGTTATGTAATTTTTGACTTAAGGTTAACTGAACTATTGAAAGCGGTTGCTTATTTTATGTAATAATTTATTTGTAGTCCCTAATATATATCTTTGTATCACAGATGGCACCATCTACCCTCCATTTATCAGCACCAAGGAAACAAAATATTTGTTTTCTTCTGACCTCTGCAGGTTGCAATTTACGTTAAAAGATATTTATTAAACTGTAGATCAAATTGTAAATTATCAAGATTTTAAACAATTAGCAACAATCTATGAAACTTTTAATTTTTACAGTAAAGCTGCAGGTTATATTTGTTTTAGAAATCTATTTTTATTTTCTTAAATTTTTATTTTTTAGATCACTGGGTTTAGATTTCACTGAACCTCTGACCGTCAAGGGGATTGGTTTAGACAGATTTGTGGCCCCTGACATCATGTTTGGTAACGTGACAGTCAACCCGTACAACGCAGGGTTCTGTACCCCCGCAGGTAACTGCCTGCCCTCTGGTCTGCTCAACGTTAGCGTCTGCCGCAGTGGTGCCCCGGTCATCATGTCCATGCCTCACTTCTTGGGGTGCGACCAGGAGACTATAGACACCATCGTGGGCCTGCGACCTGACAGGGAGGAACATCAGAGCTACATTGATATTGAACCTGTGAGTAGTGTAGCCTAGCTTGTAACTCTGATCTTTAGATTACAACTCTTTACAAGTTATGTTTAATATAAAAGTACAGAACCCAAACAGACTGTGAAATACAGGAATGTGTTTTTTGTTTTTTCTGCTACTAATATATTTTGCTCAGGCTTAGAAATATGGCCAAGATAAAGATAGAGAAGAAAAAGGGCTTATGATTTGCCATGCTATACTTTATTAATACAAACATTGAGCTTGTAAATTTGATATTTAGATTAGAAATCTTTAAAAGCTATGTTTCTTATAAAAAGACAGGACATCTGCTACTAATGTATTTTGCTCAGACTCAGAATTATGGCCAATACTAACATTGAGTTTGTACCTCTGATCATTATGTTAGAAAAAACACAGGCCACAAATAGACTGTAAAATACAGGAATGTGGTTTTTGTTATTTCTACCACTAATTATTTTGCTCATGCTCAGAATTATGGCTATGGCTACAACAAAGATTGATGCAAAAACAAGTTAATTAAAAAAGTCTAGGGACATTTATGCGCAATTTCCTTATGTTATCTAAAAATAGCTCTGACGTATAATGCTGGGGTGCGTTCAAGCTAGAAGAACGATCGGTTTGTAGGTGTTTATGTAATTTTAAAATTTGTGACCGAACGAGAGGATATTTTTGAAAACTTTCTTCGGCAATATTGTTCTAAATTATGGCAGGAATAGATTGGTACATGTTTCAAGTCGCTAAGTGGTCTGGTTGCCGAAATATGGGCCAAAAACTGAATTTTTTCGAGGTTTTTTGGCTTTTCCGGGAAATACATGAAACCCGGAATTTTTATGTCCTATGCTCATTCTCGTAACTTGCTTAACATAATTGCTTTTGGAACTAGTCATCAATATTGCTTCGTTGAGGAGGAGATACGACTTAAAGCCCGGACACATTCATCCATACATTCATTCATTCATTCATTCATCCATCCATTCCCAGAAATGACGAGTTAATAAACGCAATTCTCCAGAATGGAAATTGCGCTAAAAAGGGCTCATAATTCTCCCGGCTATATTTTATCATTACTAACATTGAGCTTCCATAGTAAATAAAAATATTTGTAGCTACAAGAACATAATCAATAATCTTTTTTCTTGTATGATTTTCCTGCATGTTACCTGTTTATTTTAAAGATTTTTAACCTGTATATTTGTTTTCTTCGTTAACATTTATTTTCTAGCAATTTTGAAAATGTGTCACCTGTATATTTACCTGTGTATTATAGATGACAGGTGTAGCCATGAACGTGGGGAAAAGATTACAAATCAACACCTACATAGAACCGGATGCTAAATTTCAGTAAGACGTAGTAGTGTTGTATGTCTGGAATATCAGCGTGCAGCATTTAAGTTGTATAAGATTGTGTGGTATATCACAAACATGAATTCAAATAATATGGAATGGGGTCTACATACATCTTCAAATTATAATTTTAAATTTAGAGCACAGAGTACAACTAAATGTTGATTTTTTTTTTTTGCAGAGATCTAAAGAACATCAAAAAACCCTTCTTTATGCCAGTCATGTGGCTCAATGAGGTGAGTCTTGATGTCTATTTTTAAAACGACATTAGTCTCATTTATTTTAACTAACACTGTTTAAGTTAAAATGGTTGTTTTTATAAATTTCTTAAACTTAAAAATCCTATTAAAACTAACTTTGCTTTTAAAAAAAAATAAAAAAAATCAGTCTTGTATGTTATACTATTTTTTTGGTAATTAATTCTTATTAAATTATCTAATTCAATAATCACTGTAATCTATATTGAATAGATGTTTTATAAATTTTCACATGAATTAATTTTTTACAACCCTTGTCTTTTTTAAAATGTTTTTAAAATATTTAAATTTGTAAGTCTGAACTTGATAAATGCCATTGATTTACTGACAGAGTGCTGTCATATCAGACAGTGATGCCAGTGACTTCCGAAGTGAGGTTCTGGATAAAATTAAAATAACAACCGGAGTCAAATACGGTCTGATTGTTTTGGGAGCTGTCATGATCATCATTGTTATCCTCGTTTTAGCTCTGCCCAAACTGAAAGACTTGGTGAGTCATGTTTGTATGAATCTATGGCAGTACACCACACTTATAAAATCCTTTGGTAATGTACACCAAAATTATTTATAAAATACTTTTGTGATGTTGACTAGTACATTAGTATACCATACTTTTAAAATCCTTTGGTAATTTTGGGTAGTACATTAGTACACCAAAGTTTAAAAATCATTTCAAAATTATGAAATACTTTGGTAATGTCGTTAGGAAGATAACTATGATATAAAAGCAGAAATGTCACATTTTACAAATTAGCTCTTACGTTTGTTGGATCTACATTTAAAAAATTAACTAGACAATTAAGTATTACACTGATCATAGTTGTCATGTGTTGTTTTTTAAAGTTAATAGACAAGTTTTAATTTTTTTCCCTTTTTACTTGACTTATGCACACCAAAACAGTCATGCATTCATTTGAAACTTTAACAAAAAAAATAACAATAGCAACCTTAACAAAATAAACACTATTTAAAAAAGAATATATATATATATAAAAAAAAAAAAAAATATATATATGCACAGTTTCCTCTCTATATTTAACAAAACTATTCCTCCACCAAAACAGATGATGAGGAAGAAGGAAGAGGCAATCAACAAAAATAATGAGGATGATGATGACGTGCCTATATTGTTCCACGGAGCATCTTAATGACCTCATCTCTTGAGTGTTGTGACCAGTTCTTTCAGACGTCCACCTGCTGACCCCTGCTCCCTTAGTTGATATTTTTTGCTTCGAAGTTTCTCAAGTCAGTAGTAATCACCCCACAATTTTATTCCTTACATTAGTGACCTTTGCATGACCCCCACAGCAGTGACCTTTATATTAGTGATCTTTACATGACCCCCCACAGCAGTGACCTCTAGTGATCTTTACTTGACCCCCCCCCCCCCCCCAAACAACAGTGACCTCTACATTAGTTTGACTTTTCATTAATTGGGATCCTCACAATAGTGATCCCCATATTAATGACCCTCCCCACTAATGACATCTCACCTTTTTTTTTTAAAATTGTGTACCCAACTAAATTAGTAATTTAAAAATAGTTTAGAATTTCAACTAGCATTTTGCAGTAGTTTTTTTTTTTCTACTTACCAAGATGGGTTTCAAAGTTTAGGTGATTTCCCTTTCCTTAACTGTGTTATGGTTAAGTGTTACGGTTTTCTTGGTGCACTCCCCTTTGGTAATTGTCTTACAAACTGAAGTTCTTGTTTAAAAAGCCAAATTAACCCAGCGATTAAATGCTGTAGATTTATTTTATGTTGTTCTTGATAATTACGAAACATATGAAGTGTATACATTTATTTCTACCATGTTGTGGTCATTCCACAATCATCTAATCAATTTTTTTTTTGTTTTCTCTGAGAAATCTTGAAAAAAATCCACTAAATTTGAATGATAACAATGAAACTAAAAAAACTAATTTGGTTTATGAACTATGTACTTGTGCCATAAATGAATGTGTGAATTATACATTTTAAGTACTAAATCCCAAAAAAGTGATTAATATGATTGTGGAATTACTTTCATGGCTGAATTTTTTCTTCTGTTTTGGCAAAGAAAATTGCGTTGTGTCTTTTCTATACTGTATAAAAATTTTAAAAAACTTTAAAATAAGATCACTTTGGTTAAAAACTTCAAAAAGAAATGATGCGCAGATAATCAAAATATTTATCAAAATTCAGTAATCTTATAGAAGATAGAACACATTGGTTTTGAGACTACTTTTTCAAACAGGCCATAAAACTTCAGCCTTAACACCTGGCTATAAATAGGCCTATTAATGTTTTATTGTTTTATGATTATTATACATGTTGATTTGTGATTGTGATGATTTTGTTTTCTCAGCTGAAGCTATATGTTGCTTTCTGATGTGCCAAAAATTTATTTTACACTTCTTTGGTGTTGGGGTGAAACTTTGATTATAATATTGTAACATGTAAAAAAAAAAAATAATGAAAAAATTTGTGCACAAAGTAGACCTGCCAATTTGGCAAATTTAGGATAAAAAACTGTTCTGGTGCTTTTAATTTATTTAAATCAATTTGTAAAAAGATTTTTTTTAAAGATGTGCATAGCTTCTAGCATAGCAGCAGTAGATATCAGAAAAAGGAAAAAAAGCAATTTTTGTGTAAAAATTAAATTTATTACAACATTCTTTCTAGCAGAACTTTAAAAAAAAAGTAAATTTTTAATTAAAGAAAACATCAGTTAAATTTATTTTGATTAAGTTTCTTTCCATAGAGTCAAAAAATGTTATAGAGAAAAAAAATGAAGTGAAAATGTGCGACGGAGGGGTGATGGGTATACTCCCCTTTATGACCGTTTATTCTGGTCATTATTGTATAATTGGTGGAATCCTTGTCAATTCTGTACTTTCTTTTGTAAAAAAGGAGATCATTATAAAATCCATTATTGATCTTCCATTATGATTAGAAAGCCATAATTTAACTTGCAATATTTAAAAAATTATTTACCTATTTTGTATTTGTCATAAAGGGAAATTATTTTAAACTGTTATCTACCAAAAACATGGAGTAAATTTGAAGTTGTGTCCCTTGTAGTTTTACAACATTTTACACATTGATACTAGTTATCTCCCTTTGTAGATACCCAACAAGGAGCTATTTATAATGCTTATCAAATTGTCTCAAAGGACTATTTTAAATCTTATTTTTTAAAAAGGTTCAATTAAATAAAAAATCAGGGAGTCTGGGATTTTATACTGCTAAGGTGCGGTTCATAAATGTGACACAGTTTGAAGGCCCTGGATATTGTGATGATGTTACATTTTGAGGGGGATGGATGGAGTAAACAAGACTTGGCATTAATATTTTTTTTATTTATTAAAGATAAATATAATTTAACATGGTGGAAGTAGGGTGGGGTGGCTTTTTGTGGCAATAATTGACTTAAAAATTGCATATCATTTACCTCAGTGAATTTTTTTTTTCTTCTTACTAACCCTAAGTTCTGGTGATATTAGAGCTTTAACTTTAAATGACTTGAGTTGTTTTTATTTAATGCTTCATCAGTTGCTTATAGGATGTGTTTTTTATGGATCTCCCATATTAAATGTCTTTTTCCTTTATGCCCGGTGGCACAGAGAAATCTTGACACCACATGAAAGATAATGTTATTACCTATCATTAATTTTTGCTTACAATCTTTGTATTTTGATTTCTGTATTGCAACATTTGAAAGTTCTAAATAGCAGACTTGTGCTTTCAGTGAAAGCCATCAGGTAATAGTGTACATATCTTGAAGGTTAAAAAAAAAGATTCATAACTTAAAACACTCTAAATTTAAATCTTTACAATAAACTATCCCCCCCCCCCCCCCCACCTCATGTTTTGTTGTTAAAAAATATCAGTCCATGAAACCTGAGACAGTTCTTTTACATAATAAAATATGCTTGCCTATATTTGTAACTTCTTAGGATTATTGTTTTGTTGGTATTTTATGTAATTATTATAAGTTATGTGTGATACTTTTTCATTGATTGTACTACTATATTATGAAGTAAATGGATTAAACTTATTATTTTAAAATTACTCAGCTTTTGTCGTGCCATGTTACAAATAAATAAAATAATAAAAAAAAAACAATGTGCAATCCAGATCGCACAGTACGACAGCAAAGACAAGAGCAGGTTTCATGTTTTTAACTTTGCTTGATGGAAACACAATTGAAAAAAAACAACATCAGCGCACATGTTTACTTTGAAACACTTAAGTACATTTAGACGTTCTAGAATTTTGAAAGAAAACTTCATTCCTTTTTAAAAAAAAAAACAAAGATCTTGGAAGAAATTATTTTTATTTATATTGGCAAAACATATTTATACGAAAACTTAATTTAAGAAAAATATACATATATATATAAATGCATTTAATTTTTAAAAATTGACAAAAACATTCTTCACACTTGAAAAGTTACAATAAAAACTGCTATAGATAGTAGCTGTTTGGTCAAAACTTGCCATTGTGTATCTTATTAGGCCATGTGACAGATCAGCCATTGGTTGATTAAAAAAAATATGATTTTAAAAGATCAATCGCTAGCATATCAGTTCTAGAAAATATATTTGAATCAATTACTTGTATTTTAGTACTAAACTGCACATTTGCAGCTGCATCTCAAAGACCAACCAAAACTTAAAAAGACTTAGGTAAATTCCTATCATCTTGAATATCAGTAAACCAGTGTATATCTTAAAAAATGGCCATATCTATCATACACCAAGCCTTTAACAAATGTACAAGATAAACGACCTTCCAATAACAAAAGAAAACCACATTCCAATAAACATTAACTCCTAATCATAACACTTTTTTTGCACAAACCTACTAAAGATGTACCTATCAAATAACACCCTATCATATATCAAATAACACCCTATACATATATACAACACATACCTGTTGTACAAGCCTTTTATAACAAATACAACCTACTACACATTTACAAACCTTTTATACATGTAGCTATCAAACAGCATATTAAACTGAACACAACATTCCTCTCATATAAATCTTCTATAAATGTACCTATCAAATGACACCTGATACTGAACACATCAAAGACCTGTTGTATAAACCTTCTATAAATGTTCCTATCAAACATCACATTATACTGGCAGACCTCACCTCCCCCCAGGCTCCTCCTCTCTGCTGCTAAACACCTCCCAGTACTCCTGGTCAGGGGTGGTGCCAGGGAGGGGCTCACACCCTGCCAGCAGATCCTCAACATCCATTATAGTAAACTTGTGGGGGTCGTCATCAGGGGGTGGGGATTGCTGGAGGGAAAGTCATGAGGCAAATGTTAACAACAATCATTGAGAAAGAAACCAGTAGTGGTGGTAGTTTTGCATCGTCATCAGAGTTTCTTCCAAACATCTGGGAGAACAAAATGGAGTTTATATAGAAAATATATACTTTTTTGCAGTGTCCCCCCCCCCCCCCCGCAGAAAAAAGTCTGAAAGAAACACTGATCATCACAGAAGAGAGAAAGCAATATTTAAAACATTTGCAAATATTTTCAAACCAAATAGAACATATAATAATCGGGGACAGCATGGTCTGACCTAAAAGTCTTGAGTTAGATCTTGGGCTTGAGTCTGTAGGACATCCTTGAGTCCACCCAACTCTGATGGGTACCTGACTCATGGGAAATAAAGACCACTGGGCCTAGTGCTGGCAATACTACCCCCCCCCCCCCCCCCCCCCCCCCCCTATATGCAGAGGTAATTGAACTCTACTCCATCTGACCCATTTGTCTTGTGTACAAACGATAAAAAGATGATGCTGATGATATAATAATCACAAAACACTGCATACAATTTTTTAAAGTTAAGCAACAAACTATATGTAATGTCATATTGAAGTCATGTTTAACATTAAATTTAGTTGAATTTTTTCTATGTAAAAATATTTTTAGTTTTGTTTATTCCATGTATTAGACTTTAATATAGCACATTTGTTTTTAAATTTAAATAAGTTTACAAAAAATATTTTGACTTACAAAATTATGCTGAATTCTAAATTATCAAAGTAGTGTTTAGAATGTTTTAATATATAAACACATGTTCTCTTATCAAATATTTTCTATAAATAAACAGAAATAATTTCTTGTAGAAGCATAGAAAAAGATAATTTAATGATGTTTAAACAGGATATTGACTGGGTGGATTTTTATTTTTGTCCCTGCCCAGATCACATTAGCTTATTCATCAAGGCTATCTCTAGCAGGGGAAAGCTTCCAGCCAGGGGAGACAATCCAGCAGGGGAGATGATACAGACTACAAACAGTAATGGAGCCATCTTTCATCATGCACTTCCCCTCCTGTCTGCTCTTGGATTTATCAGAGTTCATTCCCTTACCCCCACAAAAAAAATGTACACAGCTTTTAGTTTAGTAGCAGTCCACTAGTAGGGTTCAGTGGGTTCACTGTACATTAAAGTCTCTTCCACCTAGTTAATTATGCCACGGGCAGCAACTCTTGTTTATTTTGGGATATTAAATTCCCTGTTTAGAAATAAACACAAAAGAGTCCCATTTTTCAAGAGCATGCCAGTTTATCTGTCCCTTATCTTTATTAAAGCATCATTTCTTGTCCTGTGTAAGGATAAAATCATTCTTGGTAATTCTATGAAAACTTGAGAGTTGTCTTTCCCTGTGGCTAATTGAGGTCTGCTTTCATTCAAAACAATTAACCCTTTCCTGCTGGCCAGACAGGCTGGTGTTTTCTCTATCATTTCTATGAGGTGAGACTACAGCATTTTGATTAATGAACCCTCCCCATTATTTAACAGGAAATACTGTAAAGTTCTCTTTTTTTTCTTTTGCAAAATAGGTGGGTTTAAAAGATAGTGGTAGTCTGTTGTCTTATAAAAGAAATAACTATACAAGGAGCATTCATATTTCTGATTTTAAAAATTATTTGGGCCTAAAGAATAAATAAAAAATAATTTCAGAATAAATCAATGTTTGTATGATGTGGGTTTAAAGGTGTAAGAACTTGGTCCATTTAGCAGGAAACAGTTATAATAATAATGAAATATTTACTACATAATGCACAAAAAAACCCAACAAAGTTTATTATCATAGTGTAAAACAATGCAGTATGGGTATACATTTTTAATATTTTACGTACTGGTGTAAAAATTACAAGGTTTTGAGTAGGCCTATACATTTTACAACTTTTACAGCATGCTTGTAAAACTTACAATACTTTCACTAGGCCTACAGGTATAAAGTTTTTAGGGTTTGTAGATCCAGTACAAAATTCATTACTTAAAGAAATGGTATAAAATGTTAAGGTTTACAGTACAAGTTTAAAATTTACTGGCTCTAGTCAGGTGACTGGCACTCAGGGGAGATAAGCATTGCCACTATTTTTGTTTTCATTTTTTGATCTAGGGTTAAGTAAAATTAACATTCTTTTAGGAAGAAGCCAGGGAACAAAATGAAGATAAATTTGTCTTTCCACAGGTCTGTCAAAAGGGTAGGGGTTTTGAAGGAGAGAGAATTGTAGCCAGGATAACAAGATCTCCTGACTCACACCTAACAAATACTTGATGTGAACGCTATCTTTACAGTTACACAGATATCTCCTTTATGTTTATTTAAAATATTTCTAAATGTAAATTTGAGTTTTTTCCCCCCCAGTTAAATGCAGATCTATTTATTGAAAATAAAAGTATTTTTAAAAAATTCTATATACTTTTAAATGACAGCATAGTTAAATGAGAATTATAATTAAGTATAGATCTATATAACAAATAATTTAGAAAATATAGATTTTATTTTTAAGCAATCATATTCCAAAAGCTTCTTTGTCTATTTTGTTGTTGCCAATCATTTAGTTTTAAATATAACTAGTATTGATGTCTATGGGAAGGTGTGGTCAAGCGTTACAGCATGTGACTGCTAACCTGACAGTATTGAGTTTAAATCCTGCTTCAAATCTGAAGAATATCCCTGAGTTCACCCAGCTCTGATAGGTACTTGACTAATATAACAGAGAGTAAAGGCTTCTGGGCATAGTAAAGACCATACTATCCCTTCATAAACAGAGATCACAGAAATGGGTGAACTCTACTTCACCTGCCATGTAGGCCAACAGGTTTGAAAAGATAACTTAACTTACTTTAAAAATCAAGACAGTAGTTACAGTTTTTTAAAATTAGATCACAAAGTGTTTTTCTAATTGATAAAAAAAAAAATTAAAGTGAAACTATCAATTGCTAATGGTCAGTTGCAAAGAGGGTAAAAAGATTTAAATAACCTTTTAAGACCTAGTAAGGGATATAGAGGAATTAAAACTGTTAGATATTTGCATGCAACCCCATCTTTTTCAGTTAATGCACATGACACATGGTGTATATAGGGTTAGCGTGACACAAGACAAATGGTGTATAAAGGGTTAGTTAGCGTGACACAAGACAAATGGTGTATAAAGGGTTAGCGTGACACAAGACAAATGGTGTATAAAGGGTTAGCTTGACACAAGACAAATGGTGTATAAAGGGTTAGCTTGACACAAGACAAATGGTGTATAAAGGGTTAGTTAGCGTGACACAAGACAAATGGTGTATAAAGGGTTAGCTTGACACAAGACAAATGGTGTATAAAGGGTTAGCTTGACACAAGACAAATGGTGTATAAAAGGTTAGTTAGCGTGACACAAGACAAATGGTGTATAAAGGGTTAGCTTGACACAAGACAAATGGTGTATAAAAGGTTAGTTAGCGTGACACAAGACAAATGGTGTATAAAAGGTTAGTTAGCGTGACACAAGACAAATGGTGTATAAAGGGTTATTGTGACAGAACTAGACAAATGGTGTATAAAGTGTTATTGTGACAGAACTAGACAAATGGTGTATAAAGGGTTATTGTGACAGAACTAGACAAATGATGTTTAAAGGAGTATTGTGATCAGCACTATGCCCATCCACCTTAGATTTCCTCTACATGAGTCAGGTACCCATCAGAGCTGGGTTGAGCAGGTACCATAGGATCAAATAAATTATCATAAAATTGCGCTTTAATATTATTGAAACTAAAATAATAATAATAAGCACAGTAAAATCAATGGAACAGACCTGTACTGTGTCTTGAAATGCAACAACAACACAATGATCCTCTATCATGGTCTCCTCAAACTTCCACTCTGGTGCTAATTCGTCGTCAATTTCAACGAGCGTGTCAGTTGTTACTACATCCGCCCTCAGTTCAGGTGTTTTAATTTTAAAATTGAGACGACTTACATCGAATCCTATTCCAGTTCCGATGGTTTTAACCAAACTTTCCTTCAGACACTGAAATTATTTTTTTATAGTATAAAAAAAAAATAGCAGTGACGATGAAATGTTAAGAATTTAAAATGCAGTTTGGTTATAATCATCACAAATATAATTTATAATTATAATTAAATTTATGATTAAAATAATGGCAGGCTTAAAATTGAACTAGAAAATTATGGATTGAGTTGAAATTCCCTGAAAAAAAATTACTTCAAATTATCTATTTCAGCTAACAAATAATATACCAAAGATAAAAGGGAAGATAACCTACCCAGAATCTGAAAAAAGTTTTTAACTGATCCATATCACCAGTCCTTTGGTTGACCTCTGTCCATTCTTCTTTGGTGAGCTGGGACTGCATGGTTGCGAAAAACTCTGACACTGGTTTGTTCCCTTAGAAGAAACCTAGCTCAATCACTCTATCAAGGTTCAAGTCAGAATTAAGTCATAACTCGTTGTTTCAACTGATCACATTATAAAGGTAAACAAAGCTAGTTTCAAAGCACTGATTTAGGTAAAACATTAGGTCTGTTTTATAGTACTGATTAGTTTAAAAAATTATTTTTTTTAATACGCACAAAGTCTGTATACAAATTCCTTAGGAGTATTTACATGAATAACCATAACAATAAAGTTTCTGTGGATATCAGTCTGAAATTTTGAGCCGTTTTTGTCATCCAGTCTTATGTTCCAAGAAATCACACAAGTGTTTTCACAACAGGAGGAGGAATGTTTAGAGACCACAGTGTTGTATACAGACTTTGTGTGCATCATCCAGACAAAGACTAACAGGGAGTAAAATGCACACCCAGCATTGTTTAAATGTACTCTTTACAATGTAAAGCTGGGGACCTGACAAAGGGGAAGATTATGGCTGATTCACATAGAGTAAAGAGGACCAAGTCAAGCAAAATACAATGTAAAGGGTGGCAACTAGCCTAGAGATTTCAGTAGTACTGTGTACAAAGTTTTCAGAAGTAAGGATTTATAAAATGTCTTTTTAAATAACAAACACTGATGTCTACAATGAGCTAAAACATCAATCACGAGCACATAAACTTACGAGGCCACTCCACTTTCATCACATCAATGCCTACTTGTTTACCCCTTTCAGCAGCAAAAACCACATAATCACCCTGATGTGATACGTTAAAACCAATATCACATCTTGGGGAGGAACGGTCTACAGTGCTGATCAAATATGGTTTGCCTTTATCCGTTCTGTCAAATCTGAGCATGCGGTAAGGAACATCGAGCATTTGTGATACTGCATAGCGCATGAGAAGACGACCAACCTATAGTGAATAAAAATGTTTTTAAAAATTAGATACTCTTAGAAATTTTGAACCATAAGTCTAATAATTTTAAAAAGCAGCTAAATGAAAATTTCAGTATTCATTTTAGAGAGGTTCAAACTCCACCAAATAATTATGTACACAAAAAATAAAATATTTTTTAAAAAGTACTATAGCAGACTTGGCATCCTTCTTGAAATAAAACTTTCCAATCCTGTCCTTTTCTTCAATCTGAACACACTGAGCAGCTAATTTCCATTGCTTCTGCGTGGGATTCCAACTGCGAGCTTTCACAGCTAACCTGATATGTTGTGACCTGAACATTTAATGTGGTCTAGGCTTGTGTTTAAGTTTTAAGGATAATCTTCATGGAATCTGAAAGCAGAGTAATAGTTTTTACCAACAAAAAATTGAATTTGTATGAAACAAAGGACAATTAAAATGTGTAAAAAAATGAAATTTTAATTAAAATACTTTTATATTTAGCCTGCACAATAATTTTTTTATAGTGAAAAATGAGTGAATTTTGTGTGCTTTTCCAAAAATCAAAACAGAAGTGTTTAGTCATTATTTAAAAGGGCAAAGTAATTGTTCAAAGCTTATGGTAAATGAGTAGCCTCTGTTTAGCTACTGCTTAAAATTCATATGTGTGTGCGTGTGATATAAGTGTGAATATATACATAAACTAAACTTCTGTAACTATTTTACTACTTAACTTAATAACTATATTGTTATTAATAAATAATTAAATTATAATATAAATAATAATAACAACCTTCAACAGAAAAAACCTGAATGATCTACATCCTCTAATTTTTAAAACTGTATAAAAATGAAAACTAAGTAATTTAATTTGGATCTATTCATTATCATCATCATCATGATGATCTTTGCCCTTTTTTACTCATGACCTTGGCATAAAAAAAGAGTAATTTAGATCAGCACTATGGCCAGCCACCTTAGTTTCCCTAGTGCAAGTCAGTAACAATTAGAGCTATGTGGACTCAGGGATGTCCAACACACTCAAGCTTGAGATTCTAATTCGACATCAATTACTACATTAGATCCATCTATATAAGAGTTTCACAAATTTGTCTGTGCATATATCTGACAAGAACACTCTGAGGTCACATGCAAATGAGGAAAATATCAAATCAAGTTAAAATAAAATAAAATTAAAAATTTGAAACCAAGAAAATATATACAAACATAATGATATCATTAATAATAAATAGTGCCAAAAATGTTACTGCTTAATAAACCTAATCTATTTCTCTATCATTATGGACATTAAGGGGTCATCCATAAATGACGTCACACTCGTAGGGGGGAGGGGGGGTCCGTAATTTTGTGACGATGTGTGATGAGGGGGAGGGGGGGGGGGGGGGGTTCAGATGTTGTGACGTCACATTTTTGCATTATAAAAAAGCAATGTTAGAAAACGAATTTTAGACGTTATTTCGCGTTTTAGATAACTGTTTTAATAAATTGTAATAGTTTAGACAAGATTTTGGAAAAATATCGATGTTTTAAAAAAATTCAACTGCAATTTTGAGGGGGGGTTGTAGGTTGAGGTGTGACGTCATTTTAGGGGGGGGGGGGGTCTGACTTTTTGTGACGATGTGTAACGGAGGGGAGGGGGGGGGGAGGTAAAAATCGTCCAAAAAAGCGTGACGTCATTTATGGATGACCCCTAAGTAGTAAGAGGCTAATTTTTAATTGGGTATATCAATCGATGTCTGGCAGGCAGAAGATGCAATATACAATGACCTAAATAGCTGTGCAATGGGCTCAAATTAAATACTATTAATAACTGTGTATATCATGTTAATCCCTGTCCCATCAAGACAACACATAAGTCTAAACAGCAAACATGTAGATGACCAGAAAAACCAGGTAACTGTAGACTGTAGTGTAGAGCTATGCACATCTTTTTCCAGATAGAATCAGCCAAATACATATTGAATATTGTAATCTCGTCTAGTCAGTCTAGTCTAGCTTTAATTTAAGTTATTGGCCTTGAGTCTCGGTCTACGTGAGGTAGGACTAGGGTTGGGATTCGGCCTAGGGCTTTGTTTAGCTGCAGTTTGGCATTGACGACATTAGATTTAAAATAGATAGCATATATTATTATTTTGATTGTTGTTGATTGTTGAGCAAGACATGACTCACTCTCATGACTGAGATGATACTGATTACTGATAGAATTCAGAAGACTCTGAGACTAGAGACTCTGACTGAGACTCTTCCTTCACTCACTCTTGGCCTGGCCTAGAACACAGAGATCTAGATCTAGTATTTAGCTACCTTATTATTAAAATGAAGTGCAACAAATTTTACACAATAATAACATTTATGATAGAAAATGTTCTACCAAAATAATTTTCCCATTCATCATTTAGACCTAGATTTAGACCTTTTAACTTTATTTGATCGAATACTTTGTTTACTATTTTGCTAAGGTCGCCGCCATGTTGCCGGGAGTATGCGTTGTTTTTACTTTCTCGTACAGGCACACGGAGGAAGAAGGCCAAAGGCTAAGGGGTCATCCATTTATTACTTCCTTACTTCCACGTCAACATATTGGATGAATTTAGCATCGATCGAAGTGTTCACATTTTAAAACAAACAGAACTCGTGTCGTTCACAAAAAAAAATGTGTTAGCCATGATCCATTGATTTCATAAAGCGACATCATGATTTTTAACTATTCCCTCCCCGGGCTCCCCCCCTTTCCGCAACATCACGCATCCGAGATAGCCTGGATCCAACATCTAAATTGACGTCACACCTGTTAACACCCCTCTAAAACTGTAATTTAAAAAAAAAAAAAAAAACCATTTTTTTCTCAGAAGTATTTTCTGAGCTCGATCGACGAGATTGGCAGATTTTAACAGTATTGCGTGAAACCTTTTGTCGTTATATATTTTGTCCATCAGATAATTTATCTTTGAGATAATTTGTCTTGAGATCATTTGTACGTGAGATATTTTGTTTGGGATATTTTGTCTGAGATCAGCACCACTATCACCCCTTCCCCAAACCAATTAGAATTTACATACAAAATATTTACTTTCACCATTGTCATCATATCCCACCTACTGGAAATTTAATCAGACCCCCAACCCCCCATGATACAATTTCAACGAACCCCCCCCCTCCATCCCCAATTTTCACTTGCACGTTCCACAAAGAGAAGCCTGAAAGAAACTATGATTATAAGACGAACAGGACTTCTTCCTCATATTTTGTTCCGGGTTGGGGGTGGGGCGACGTCACTAGTTCGTGTCACGCGTTGCGGCAACGTTGCACCGTCACCAACGATGTAATAATAATAATAATAATAATAATAATAATAATAATATTACTAATACGAATACGAATACGATACGAATACGAATACGAATACGAAGACTAATACTAATACTAATACTAATACTAATACTAATACTAATACTAATACTAATACTAATACTAATACTAATACTAATACTAATAACACTAACACTAACCCTAACCCTAACCCTAACCCTAACCCTAACCCTAACACTAACACTAACAATAACAATAATAATAATAATAATAATAATAATAATAATAATAATAATAATAATAATAATAATAACAATAATAATAATAATAATAATAATAATAATAATAATCTATGCAATTTTATGTGGATATAATAATGATGAAAGGCTTCCACGGTTATAGTAATCCATCGTAGTTTCAACTATTCATCTTAGTTTAACTCTTCCGCATTAGTCCCAGTTATCTATATTAATTACACACATACACATTTCACATTAGTTCTACACATACACATTAGTTCCACTAAGCCAATTTAGGTCCACTTTTATTTTTTGTTTGTTTATCATTTCTACTATTCTACATTTTGGCCTTTTTAAAAAAAATTCCAGTGGAGCATGGAATTGGAAATATAAAGAATAATGGGAAGATGGATAGGCAATGCCTTGAAGAAACCGGCGACAAGTATAGCAAGACAATACAGTAATTCTTGGACTCCATAAGGATGGGGGGGGGGGGGGGGGGGGGGGGGGGAATCATTAAAAAAAAAACATAAATGAAAGTTATTAAGAAAATATTTGAAAATGAATGGAAAAAGTTACGGAGAGAAACGTTGATAATTATTTTGAAATCTGACCATGCTCAACTGGGTGTTGAAAAAAAGGAAAAATTAAAAAAGGAGAAAATAATAAGAAATGATCGGGTTTTACGTCAGGTAGGGCTAATGCCCGATTATTACCTCCCTTTTATGCAAGCTAAAACGAAATATATAAACAAGGGAAGTAACCTATAGTTAAATTGCTAAATAAACCTAAAAAGTGAATAGGGCCAACGTATACAAACGACGATTTTTAAAAATAAAACGTGTGTGTCTGTACTGCACAAATAAATAGGAATATACTAGATATTTTAACATAATAATCATTTATAAAAATGCGGGGAAAAAAAGACTTTTTGAACGAACAACAACACTTTAGCTTTTTAAAAAATTTAACTTGAATGAATTTTAATAGTGATTGATAGCTCTTGTTTTCTTAAACAGTTTTTTCCTTAATTTTGGGTCCCTTTTAAAATCAAGGGAGATTCATAAGAATGTTGTAGTTTTAGCGGCTACTAACGTCCTCCACTCTTCCTCCCCCACCCTCCCCGCCTCCAGCCCAACGAAATGGAAAAGGTATAGTCTACATTAACCTGTGTCCAATCGGGAGAATGATAAGTGAGCCCCACCACCCCCGGAGACAAGTAACTGAAAGAAATCCGGGAGCCAGAGCACGTCTACCGACCACGCCAATACGTCATAATGAGGGTGCCGTTGGGGGGGGGGGGAGTTAAGGTCCGTACCCGGTGACACCAAATCGAAACAGCGTAAAATTTACAGTCTAAACAATGTTTTATGTGATATAAAAATCATAATATTGTAGGCTAGATGAGTGAAACCAACCAGAAATTTCAAATTTAGTGGAGATGGGAGGGGTGACACCATCATTTACCACGCCAAGTGACACCCGACCTAGTGACGCCACTGTTTAAACCTGGCGTGTAAACGATATTTGACTTAAATTCAGAAGAACAGGGTTTAGGGATGGGGGCCTGCACCCGATGACAGAATTTATTGGATGACACCAAATAAAAAAAAATCATACAAATTAACGTAAAAAATATTTGATAAAGTACAAATAATAACGCAGTGACTTAAATTTTTTTACTTTCCTGATACTTTTATCTTCGATAACAACGCAAGAATATTTAAAACATTTTATCGTCTTAAAAATTAAATTGGTCTTTACATTGATTTAAATATTATTATACACGATCAGTAGGTGGAGCTATATTTACAGATGTCATCACGCCTGAGAGCCGAAAATAGAAGTTAGTAAGGAACAAATAATTGCCTTTTCGTATATTTGAAACCGACTTTATTTAGAACAAACGGAAGGCAAAATGCAGAACAAAAAAATATTGTTTTTACAACTTAAATGTCGGCCAACCGTTTTAATGTTTTACATCAGGGGTCTCCAAACTTTTCTGTCCGAGGGCCGCATTAACTATCAATTTTCAGTTCGGGGGCCAGTTTCTTCCAGTTTCTTCCGCATCCGGCCCGCGGGCCGTAGTTTGGAGACCCCTGTTTTACATGTATGTATACAAAAAAAAGCAAACAAATAAAACCGAAATAAAAAAAAATTTATTCTAAGGTTTTAATTGCACTAAAAATTATAAAACAAACTTTCTTTTAAAAAATGCAAAAAAAAAAAAAAAAAAAAAAAAAAAAAAAAAAAAAAAAAAAAAAAAAAAAAAACAGACGAAGCCTTCGTCACTATTAAAATTTCTGACAAATTTTAGCGCCCAGCGTTTTAACTACAGAAAGAAAGCTTGTTATATCTTTGTTTTCAAAATTTCAGTGCAATTATTTTTTCCAGCTCTCGCTTGCAAATTCCGTTTCCCAAAGCGAAAAAGGGAAATAACCACCCCGATTATCCATTAGCCAAAT